TGTGTGTGTGTGTGTGTGTGTGTGTGTGTGTGTGTGTGTGTGTGTGTGTGTGTGTGTGTATAAACCTCACCTGACAAACTGAGGTAAATCAAGTGATGCACGTTCTCTATCTTCTCTCTCGCATATCAGGCGACGCAGATGAACTGCTCCCACTGCAAGAAGAGCATGATGAAGGGCCAAACGGCTTACCAGAAGAAGGGATTCACAGACGTCTTCTGCTCCAAAAACTGCCTTTTCGAAATGTTTCCCATCAACAAACCAGTCACCAAGACGTGCTATCTCTGTTTCAAGTGAGTCTGTGAAGAACAACACTTTATTCTTTAGTTGTAAGCAAGTTCTCAGAATAAACAAGAAGGCAATCCAGGCACTCCAAAATCTTTGAGGAAAGAAATATTAAAAAGCCTTCATTATAGTGGCGGAATCATTAAAAGTGCCAACATGTTTCCACCAAAGTAGGTCTTTGTCAGGGCATTTCACAAACTAACAAATGTATAGTATAAACAACCAATGGGAGGCAATCACACACATGACCCGGATAATGACATGGCAGGTGAAACAAATTGAAAATTGTGAAAACACTAAATATCAGGAAAATAGATTGCACAATTTTTTTTTTAATCTATAATAAGTACCCATAGCTTTTAAACATAGGCTGTAAGAAAAAGACAGGAAACATGTGAGGTCTATATCCTCATCATCGTCAATACATGATTATACATTAATAATTTAGCCACTATAATAAAAGCTTTTTAATATTTTCTTCCTCGTTCTAAGATTTTGGTGTTCCTGGATTGCCTTCCTCTTTGTCCTGAAGCACCCGACACATTTTGATCTGCACAAAGCGACCCGCTATCTCTCTCTCCGAGGAAGTAAATGATGTTGTTTACATTTTTGAACGTGTTCTATCAGGGCGATATCGCAGCCTCTGGACCTCATCATGGCTGCAGTGGACATTAAGGGGACCATGAAGGACTTCTGCAGTCCGACCTGCCTGCTATCCTTTAAGTCCACTGTGTCCACCCAAACACCACAACGGCTCTGCAGCATGTGCAACAAAGCCTGCACTGTAAGCGAAAAACAACACGTATTTACCAAAACGTGTCAATTTAAGCTGTAAACTAGTCGTCGTACTCACTGCTCCTTTATCGTCATCTTCCACAGACCACGTGCCAGTTGACTCTGAACGAGGCCTTCCACACATTCTGCAGCGACTCCTGCTTGGGTGATTTCCGTAGGGACAACATCGCCGTCTGCGAGCACTGCGGCACCACCTTTTGCCACAAACCGCTGAAGCTGAAGCTTGAGGAGGAGGCCAAAACCGTCTGCAGTCAGGAATGTCTGGATGAGTTCAAAGAGGTGCTTGAAATCTATCTTAATGATGGGTCACTTAGAGCGTCAAAGACAGAAAACAGTACAGCTTGGTGAACGCAACTCTTTCACTGAAACACTGTATATACATAGTACAGGTCATCATCATCATATAGTGTCCACGGACAGGGGGACGTAACATGTTAATTAAATGTTTGGATACACGGTCTTTAATCTATGTGCTGTGTTTGCTCAGACAGCATGGACAACACTATGGTTAAAGGTCTATGTTAATGAGCGTTTAGGCTCGCGACACGTAAACGTTACCATTACATTCATACAATACATACATTTACTTAAGTATTCTACTAAAGTACAATCTTATGTTAGGCTACTTGTACTTGAGTATTTCCATTTACTCCTACTTAATACTTCTATTCAACTTAAGTTCAGAGTCACATTGTGTACATTCTACTGCGCTACATATATTGTATAAGCTACATTGCAGATTTGGACAATATATAAATGTTAATGTATTAAATTGCATAAAGTTAAGCTTTTATTGATCCCTTGGAGCAGTGTATATAATAAAACATTTGCCATATTTACCAACTGCCACATTAGGGCCACTCTGTATAACGAGTACAATAACGAGTATATTTTGATGCTAATACTTTTGTATTTTTACTTCAGTTACATTTTTTTAATTCAAGACTTTTACTTGTTGCAGATTATTTCTACAGTCTTGAATACTTCTACTGGCACTGCATTTCATAACAGTACACTTACTGTATATTTACTGCCACCAATCCAGCTCTAAGGGAGGATTTTCTTTCGGGTCAATGCTACATAAACGCTAGGGGTGGGAATCATCAGAGGTCCCGCGATACGATATTATCACGATACTTAGGTCACGATACGATATTATCACGATACTGCGATATTCAGAGTATTGCGATAACATAGGCCTACATTGCGATTTATTACTTTTTTCAACTTCAAATTATGTCCCCAAAGGAAAACTGTGTCAACATGTTTTATCTAATAAGATAAAGTTTTCAGTCTGTTCCTCTCACTTCAATCATTTTTATTGCCGCAAAATAGGATTGTCAAGCAGACAGACTGACCAACAATGTCATAAATGTTGCATGAACCTGACAAACTGAACTGTTTGTATTACTACATAGACCTACTTAACTAAATGCAAACGTGTGGACTCAGTATACGAACTATAACTTATATAAGTAGGATATAAGAGTTATATAACTCAGTATAACTTGCGATGCGTGGACGTCGAGGGCAGAGAGACAGTTATGCGCGGCACTCTCCCCATGAGCCTGGCTACTGTTTGCAGATTTAACCCTGTTGTGAGGCCAGATGTCTCTCTTTGTTTTGACCAACTTCCTACCAATCACGCTGACTCGGGACCTTTGCTGACCTCACCAGAAAACAACTCAGCACCATCTAGTGGACTGAAAAAGCAATTGATTTTTAAAAAAAAATAGTTTATATAATAAAAGAGCGATACTTGCGTCAGTGTATCGATACAATATCGCCACGCAAAATATCGCGATACTATGCTGTATCGATTTTTTTCCCCCAGCCCTAATAAACGCGTCTGCGTTTAGTCTTCTCCTGTCACAGAAATAACCCCTGTGATGAAAAAGATGTCACTATTATTAAACTACACTGGCTGTATTCACTGTAATGGAGAAACATGTCAACCAGTGGGCAAAAATGGAGTTTGTGGCGCAGAGGAATAAGCTATATTAAACTTTAACTACACAAGCTTTGCTTTGTTAGGATAAATCCATTGTTGGTTTTGGTCTTTTAATGGGTTTGTTGACAATAAAAAAAAATATTTCATCCTCATTACTTGAAGACTGCAATATCCATGACATTCTGTTTCCTTTCTCTGTTGTTGTGCAGAGAATCAAGATGTCCCACCAGTGCACCATGTGCCAAACTTCTCTGCCGGTTTCAGACATGTTTGATTTCAAAAGCGGCGAGAACATAGTGGAGCTGTTCTGCACCCGCACCTGTGTGACGTCATACACGCTGCGGCCCGCGGGTGTAGACGTTCTTCAAGGTACCGGACAAAAAGTTTTTTTATCTTGGTCTCCGTCCTACTCTTTTCACTCCCCTCTGTCCTCCTCGTTAGTGGGTATCAAATGTCTTCACAGGACAAGTTACAGTTGTTGACAAATACTGTACATTGATGAACACTTAAATAAGGGGATACTAATAGGTGGACCGCGGTCCGGATCCGGACCCAGACGTATAACTGATGGATAAATGAGAATTAAACATTTTGGCGGAGCGCTTCTATTTCAACCTGCACAGCTTTTCCAGCCTTTACGGGACTCGTTCAGCAGTCCAGGAAACACACCGACCAATTACATGCGTTGTAAATCATCTCACGTGATGCTACTCAGCCAATCGTATATATCTGCATTCTGAGTAAGTAGAAGCAGTTTCACACGGTGTGTTCTAAAAAGAGAGAAGTGGACCGCGAAAACAGAGCTTTTAACAAAGAATGGACGGACTCTTATTTGTTCATTCTTCCTGCTGGCGCTACTAAACCACTCTGTCTCATATGTTCAGATACCGTGGCCATTATTAAATGCGGCAATGTGAAACGCCACTACGAGACCAAACATCAAAATCTTTTGAGCAAACATACCAATTCCAGTCTGAGGGCAAGATGTTGAGATGTGTAGATTGTTTATTTATTATAAAGTTGACTGAGACCGTTATGATGTGAAATGGATTTAACAAAAGAGAAGAGAAAAGTTAACTCCAGCCACACTTTCCTTTTTTCCTTTTCATAAATTTTTCTAAAATCAAGCACTTTCTTTTAAGATGCAAGCTTTTCAAAAAATATTTTTATAACGCATTAAATTGCCCAGCACTATTTCAAATATAATTGATGTGTACTTTCTTTATTTGAATTGACAGTTTAAAGTAGTAGTTTACCTAAACCTGAACACGTTTCTGATTCCTCCCTTCAGCAGAGAGAGAAAACGCAGATCGGTCGAAGAAGAAGATAAGAGCCATGCCAACAATACAAATAGTGTCTGCTGTGAGTATTTCATACACTGAATTAATACACTGGAGTCTACGAGATATATGTGCTCCACAGGAGAGCTACATGAAGCGGACATGATATTTGCTTACTCGCGCTTTAAATGAGGCTTTCTTCTGGGTATTTACTTGACTAGTTTTGTCTCATTCGAGCCGAGCTGAGAAGCGACTCGTGCCGGTCCAGGGGCGGCTTCTAATCCCTGCACTGTAACTGTGCATCGTCCCACAGGAGGCGATGAAGAAGAGGAGCACAGCCTCCGCTGCCAACAAAAACGATGCACCTGCCGACGCCAAGCAGAAGCTCATCGTAGCGGAGTCGTGGGTTGTCTGTTCTGGCTGTGGGAAGAGAATGCACAGAGGAGAGACACTTTACCAGACGAAGAGCACACCGGAGGTTTTCTGCTCAGCCGGGTGCCTCTCGGAAAAGCATCCCAACATCGCGTCAGTCACCAAAAACTGCTACAACTGCTTCCAGTAAGTCCAGAATATTTTGTGCTTTTCCATGTCTGTATGTCACCCGTCTCCTTTTTGCGAGATGATTGGTTGGTTGGTTTTTGTTGGGTGTGTGTGCATTTTTATCGAAAAGACAATCGACTCAAAATTCATTACATTCACATCATTTTATGAAGTTCAACAGTTATCATGATCTGCAGCTATTTTGACCGTCGATTAAACCTTTAGGTCGTTTTTCAAGAAAGAAAAAAAATCTTTTTAGTTTCTCATTTGTGCGAGTTTGCTTTGCTTTGTGTTACGTGATCATAAACTGAACAACACAAGCATTGTGATCACCTATGTCGTTGTGTTTTTGGGACAGATTTTGTATACATTCAGTACTGCAGGTCAAGCAGAGCTAACACCTTAAATTCTTCGCCCATTAAAACCACCCCGAATGCAAAAACTGACAAAACTGTCCCTGAAGGTGAATCTCTCCTTCCCTCAGGATGATCATGCGGCCTCACAGCATGATCCTGGCTCCGGTGGATGATTCAGGAACTATGAAGGAACTGTGCAGCGCCACCTGTCTCGCTTCCGTCAACTCCAAGAGGAACGCGGCCGCCCCCAAACACCCGCCTCCCGCTGCAGGACCTCGTACACACTGCCGGATGTGCACCAAATTGTGCATCGTAAGGAAAAAGGAAAAGACACTGACTCTTGGTTTTTGTTTGACTTTTTTAGTTGCGTCTTTTCAAAGTTTGGCTGAAAAGGCTTGTCTATATTTTTCCTATTGTCAGCAAATCTCATTAGAAGATTGAAAACCAACGAGGCCTTTGTCTTGCCGGTCTTCCAACTTTCGAAATATACCGTATATTTTTTTTTTTTTTTTAAACCTAAAACAGCTCAGCACTTTTGGCAAACCTCACTCAAACAGCAGTAAATGGTTCATTTGTTGGACTATTTTCAGCTGTTTCATCTCTTTCACATGTTAAGTTTAGTATTTGTTTTTGCAGCAACAGTGTTTTTGAGTGTTCTGAAGTTCAGTGATTTATCCCAACATATGCAGATATACAGTATATGCAAACTTAAGACTTCCAAAATATATGTAGAATAATTATTTAAAATTGGATCAACTATTGTCAGTTTCTTTATACTTTATATTAATGTTCTCAAGCATGATAGCCGGGTCTATTGTCTGTTCTTCTTTGACTTTGCACAAAGAGTCCCACAATTGTTCCTCCAGTAAGAAATAGATCTTTGGTGCAATGTCCCTCCATGAGCGTTATAAAGTAAGCCATTCTCATCGGTGAGATATTTAGTAAATATGAACACAATGAATATCACTACTTGTTCATTAAATAATCAGTATTGCCACGATACAATGGATCCACATGCTCCTTTGTCGTCCTCAGTGCAAATTCAGTCAGACCCTGGACGGCCGCACGCAAAGACTTTGCAGCGACGCCTGCTTCATCAACTACCACAGGATCAACAACCTGCTGGTCTCCGCCTGTGACGTCTGCAGCTCCATCGGCAGCGACGCGCGGTACAGGCTGAAGGCGGAGGACGGCAGCAAGGCCATCTGCAGCGAAGACTGTCTGGTCAAGTTCAAGGAGGTGAAATCAAATGTCACATCTACAACTTCCACACTAACACTGTACACGACCTCGCTTATTACTAAGCTATAAATACACCGTCAACATCCAAGCTGTGTGTGTGTACGAGTAGCATGAGTCAGCCTTTTGATAGCTTTTTCAATGTTTTGCTGTGCAAGTCTGTTACTTTCTGTTGGCTTCTGTGAAGCCTGTTGGTTCTCAATTGTAAAACTCTGTTATAACAGAAATTCATCTTCGATCCGTTTGTGTTTGGTCCTTGAATTTTAGGGAATTGGGTCTGGAAAGTCATTTGAAGACCATTGAATTTGAACTTAGTTTTTGTACAGTGGTCCACATTGATGCTGGCCTAGAGGCAACATCACGTCCGTGACGGAGCATAAATCTCACTGGGGCCCAATTCAGAAGATGCTGGAGCATTGTCCTTTGCTTCCGGCACAATTAATATGCAGCTGTACCAGCAAAGAAGACTACATCAACAATTGCACAATTAATGGCAAAATCCAGATAATAATAATCACCCCAATCTTTGTTTGTGTGTTACTTGGCAAACATTCTGCTAAATGTCGCTGAAGAACTACATTGCTTGGCGGAAGAATGATTATCATTAGATTATTTGTATTTTTTTTTTGTTTCCTGTGTTTATATTATGAAACCTTGCCATTGTCTGTGGTAAGTATTTCATAAAAGTGATAAGCTGTGACGGGCTGTGATGTTAGAACATTTAAGAGTCGTTGTTCAATAACTCTCACATCTGATCCTGCACATCCTCACATTGTTTCTCTGCCCGTTTTTATATCTTGACAGAAAATCGAGACGCCTCGGCTGTGCCCCATGTGCCAGACGTCGCAGCGGTTGTCAGACATGGTTGAAAATAAAAACAGTGAGGGCGTGTTGGACTTCTTCTGTAGCAACAGATGCATGCTGGTACACAACGCTCTGTCCTCCACTGTGCCAGGTAAACGCACTCCTCCTTACACATCTGTAGCTCTTCCCTCCCACTTCCACTCTCTTTGCTGCCTTTTATTAATTATGTTACTATTGTAACTCATGACTCCTGATTAGAAACATTGGTGAAATACACTTAGCGGACGTATTAGTCGCTTGCTTTGACATAATTAGCGCGTTCATAAAGTAGAGCATGGATGTCATTAGAGGAGGTATTTTACTGGTGGTAACTGTACTAGTGTCATAAGTGAACACACCCAAGTTGTGGCTTACTCACGGTCACACCGGTGAAATAAACTCTGGTTGGATTCTGCTTCCAGTTGGATATTTGACACATTTTTAACATGTCTTTATAGAAAGAAACAGCCCATCACCTGACGAGAATGACGTTAAAGAGGTGAAGCCATCACCTGACGAGAATGACGTTAAAGAGGTAAAGCCATCACCTGACGAGAATGACGTCAAAGAGGTGAAGCCATCACCGGACGAGAATGACGTCAAAGAGGTGAAGCCATCACCGGACGAGAATGACGTCAAAGAGGTGAAGCCATCACCTGACGAGAATGACGTCAAAGAGGTGAAGCCATCTCTACCACATTTGGACTATGTGAGTATTATGTGTAATAATGGCCTCTGTAATAACGCTAAGACACTAAAATCAAGGCACGACTTTAAGTCATAGCATGTACAAGGTTTCTACAATTTTTGCATTGATTTGTGTGATGTACAATATAGCAATACGACTGATTTTATTGCTTATAAGTAATATCACTATAAAATTGAACTACAGCAGACTATTCCCCCTCTAAGTGGGTTGCAGCGTGCACACTTGAGAAAGTAATAACCTGAATTTAAACGTCAGTTAGAATCATCACAGTTCTCCTAACAGACTTGTAAATGTCACACAGCTAATGTGTCTCTCTCTTCGCTCCTCATCAAGATAAAAGAAGAACCCATTGACGAGGAGTACAACCAGAATCTCCCATCCTCCATTTCCACAGAAGCCATCAAAGATGAGCCGAAGGCAGGGGAGGATGTGGCGAAGGTAGGACACATGAAATGCTTAACAAGCAAGCATAAAGCATTTATTTTATGTATTCATCACTATGAGTTAGATGTGTGAAATAATGTTCATTACATTAAAAGCCCAGCAATGAATATGTTATTTACAGTAGTAAGTAAAAGTATATTTGCAAAATCTACTTCAAGTATCAAAAGCAAAAAATACTCATACTGTTATTTGTTACATATATATTATTGAGTTATTTATGCATCAGCAGCAAAACATATATGCATTTCAAAATATTTCCATATTTAACTTAAATAAGATCAAATTAAGATAAAATCCTGAGCACAGATCCTGTTCATGCCCCTCTACCTTCACCAATGATCGACTTAACAGTGATATGAATAGAAGGGCTGCCTCTCTCATTTTGGTCTTAGTTGACTAAGATTTTCTTTGGTCGAGGACGGCCCTAATGAATGGTGCTGCAGATGATGTTGTCACTGACACTGATGAGGAAGACGGTAAAGAGACACGCGAGCAGACATTTAGAAATGTATCTGATGTACAGTGACCCGCTGACAGCTCCGCCATCACTGTGCGTCATCTAACTGTTCTGTTTTCTCACAGGAGGACTTGAAGATCGGCTCAGTCTTCTCCATGACGGGAGACTCGTCTACGTCCACGTCTCCAGCGCCTGCTGTCGCCCACCTGGATTTGCTTGCGTCATGCTCCAACTGCAAACTGGTCCTGAGGGACGGAGAGACCGTTTACCAGAGGAAGGGCCACGCGGACGTCTTCTGCTCCACTCCGTGCCTTTTGAAATTTTACCAAATGCAACCAGTTAAGAAGACCTGCTACTTCTGCCTTCAGTGAGTCACCCCGTGATTTAATCTGTTAGCTAATGAATGTCGTCTTTATTGAACTGATTTTAAATATCCTCCAGCTAAACTCATCTCAGCTGTGTCTACACATTTTTTCTGTGTCAAAGATTGCGTCCTTTGAACTGATCCTGTGCTTCCCCTCAGAGTGATCTCACAGCCTCAGGACGTCATCCAGGCCCCGGTGGACAACGAGGGGACGATGAAGGACTTCTGCAGCCAGACCTGCCTGTCCTCCTCCAACTACAAGAGAATCGTGTCCACCAAAATCCCCCTCGTGCCAGTCACGTCACAGTCACAATGCAGCATGTGCAGCAGATATTGCATTGTAAGAGATGTTCCTGTGTTGTATTAATGAAGAACACTGCCTGCTAGAAGTATCTAAACTATGAACGGTGTGTCTTTTAAAATTCCTACTGTTTTCTGGTAATGGCCACGTTCTGATTATAGGAAACAAATGTTTTTCTCAATCCTAAGTTTTTATATATACATAACCTACAAAACAACAATGAAAGTCTTCATCTCACCTAAAAACATATCAAATCAAAGGTTTACATGAATTGACATGAGTGTGAATCCTCCTCCTCTTCATCCACCCTCAGAGCAAACATGAGGTCATACAGCATGACGTCGTCACCAAGATCTGCAGCGACCCCTGTTTTCTCCGCTTCTGCACCATGAACAACGTGTCCGTCTGTGAGAACTGTCGCTCCTGCTGCAGCGTGCCTCTCATGCTCAAGATGGACGACGGCAGCAAAAAATTCTGCAATGCAGAGTGTCTGGCCCAATTCAAACAGGTAAAATCATCTCAAAACACCTATCAAATGTCAAAATTATTGAACAAAATATATAAGGATATAAAGAACTAATTTCTGGTTGCAGTTTCTATGTTCTTGAAGTAAAAGGCAGGGATAAGATAGGATGAAATAAAAATGTTCTTTAAGGTCTACACTTTGAAAAAAATAAAATGAAGATGCTTTGACAACAAAAGTGAAATAAATCAAAAGGGGGAAATCTCCACTGCTCTCCTAAAATGCCTCTACAAGTCTCTCTAGACGAGGTGACCACCTACAATCACTAAATATAAAATGCCCCGAGGTTTCACGGAGTCTGTGAATTGACTTAATATTTTCTCTGTGCTGTTTTTTTCATTTCTTCGCAGAAAATCAAAACACTGCAGCCGTGTGCCATGTGCCACACCTCCCATTTAATGTCTTATATGTTTGAAAACAAAAACAACGAGGACGTCGTGGAGCTCTTCTGCACCAGCAGCTGTGTGATGGCATCCAAGATCCAGGCCGTCAACGCATCAGGTACTGGACTTAACTGTGACAACACAGCTGCTCTTTGTCTTTCTCTCTCCTTCTTTAATATTCATTCCAGCTCAATGAATCGGGTTACAATCTCATTTCTGCTAATGTGCCATCGAGTCACCTTGAACAACTTCAAATGTCAAGGGAGCTGAAAGTTTAGTGCAGTTGAGTTGGTCGACAGGATTGATCTACTCTCATGAAAGCTCACAGCCTTGTGGACGTTGTTCATTACATACATGTGATATCAGTAATTGCTTCTATCCTAATTTCTTTCATAACTTCTCTCTTTCTCCTCAGGTGCTCTGTTGGATTGTGACCAATGTGGTAAGACCACATTACCAGCCTGCCACCTCGCCATGTCCAATGCCTCCATCAGAAACTTTTGCACTCTAACTTGTGCCATGTCTTTTAAGGTAAATACAACCTACAACATATACAATGTTCAGAACTCTTAATCCTAGCTCGGGTTTTCTGCAGAATTTAGAGGATGTACAACCAACCATACAGTATCCTCTGTGCCTTCTCTCCCGAAGAAACAACTTTGAAGACTTTCGGAGAAGAAGGGCTGGATACATCGGAGAATCTGTGTTGGTTAGGGTGGAGATGTTGTGTAGCATTTTCTGCTAAAAGCAATGTACCTCTGGACAGTCCCATACTCTTAATACATGAAAGGGCCCAATGTGCAATCTACAGCAGTTCCTTTTGAGACAATCCCACACACAGTCTCACCATTGATCTGAACATGTATTAATCCACAGACACCAATAAAATGCACTGTTTACTGCTGTTTCAGTAACATTCAGCCAAAGCTACAGTGCTCCACTGTTGCATTCTTAAAAAGACTTTAAGGAATGAAATGATAGATTTGTGGCCTGTTTTTAAAGCTAAATGTCTTCATTAAGAAGCAATTCGATTTGGGCTGAAAGGCACAGTCTGACAGTAACGAGAGACGAACGAACACTGTTTGTTTTGATCTTTGTAGACATTATACAACATTACCCTTCTTTTAGTTAGTTTAAATTCATTCTGTGGAGCTCACCTCGGATGATGAATGGCATTTCGTAGTGCAAGGGAGAAATAAATCCCAAAAAAAGTGTGAACAGATGATAGACATTACACTTATTTAAAATCAAATCACTGCTGCTTTGATTAGATTAAAGCAAATTATCAAAAATTGAGCTTAAAGAGACCGGAAACAACAACAGATTCATTAGGGGTGGGAATCACCAGAGACCCCACTATACGGTATTATCAGTATTTTATACGTTACTTAAGTCACGATACACTCTTATTGCGATGTTAAACATTTTGCAGAGTATGCTGAGTATTGCATAACATGTATTGCGATTTATTACCTTTTTTCTGCTCCAAATTTTGTCTGTTTTTCACTCTGTTAATCTCACTTCAATCAGTTTATAGCAGCCAAATGTAAAGCAGATAGACTGAGAAACATCTCTGTTGTGACCAACTTCCTGCCAGTCCCACTGACTTTACCCATGAAACACCCCTCACCATCTCGTGGGCTGAAAAAGCAATTGTTACCAAAATGTAAATTTGTATTTGCAATAATAATAGTTAATGTAATAAAAGATCGATACTTGGCGTCTGTGTACCTATACAATATTACCTAAGCCAAATTTCGAGATACTATGATTTATGGATTCTTACCCCACCCCTGAGATTCATGCTAGTCAGCTCGGCCATTGACTGGTGACCCTCTTGACCAATGTCAGCTGTGGTCGGCTCCAGCCACCCGACAACGCTTTCAGGGGAAGTACCAACAAAAGTGCTAATGTAGCTTATTCCTCTGTGTTTAAAACCTTTTGTATGCTTTTGTGCCACAGGAGAAGCAGAAAGACATGAACACATCCACAAACTCAACAGGAGCCGCTGACCAAAGCCAATATGACTTCCTTAAACCAGCGGAGAAGCTGCCATGCGCCCAGTGTCGGTGCATTATTAGAGTTACGCCCAAAGTCATCCAGAAAAAGGTGTGTGGGTACAGTTTTTATTTTTTTTTATGTAACATTTGACTTTGATATCTTAAAATCATTCATGCACACTATGACACTATTAAAATACAGTGTGTGTGTGTGTGTGTACAGGGCAAAATGAATTTTGTGTGTGGCCTGGCCTGTTCTCAAGAGTTTAACACGGCCAACAACATCATCGGCAAATGTGAATATTGCAAGTATGAAAGGATCATCAGAGACGTCAAGAAGGTCGACGGCAAAGTATGCTACTTCTGCAGTGACGGTAAGAGGACCCACCGGACCGTGTAGCCTACATCTGTCTTGTAATATTCAGATGTAGAGCAACGACAAAGACTCCCCGAGCCTCCTTTCTCTCCTCCCAGGCTGCAAGATACTCTTTCAAGACGAGCTGGGAAAGCAGTGGGGGGAACTCTGTGGCTCGTGTGCTTACTGCTTCTCCATCTCCAAGACGCTGGTGACGGCGAAGTATGAAAGCACCAACAGGAAGTTCTGCTCGGAAGACTGCAGCGCAAACTACAATATGCTCCTCTGCTGCGTAAGTACTGCTGCGAGTTCAGCCGATGCACAAATTTCCTGCCCGTTTGTGGACAATTTTCCTTTTCTGTGTTGTCCTTTGTACGTTTCATGTTTTTATTAGCTCAGGTTAAGTGATGTAGTGTTAGATCATGTCAACCATGCTGTTTCTCAAGGATTGTTTTAATGATCAAATTGTGTTTTGGGATCACCTCCATTATATTGCCCATCACAGAGCTTCATCCTTTTATGCACTTAGCTTCTCTCCAAACCACTGGGTCAGCTGAAACAATCAGTCGATCGTCAAAACCTTTTTTATATCTAGATAATTGATTAATCTTTGAGGTCATTTTTTAAACCTATAAAGATATATTATACATCTTCCAGGTAAATATTGGACTACTGAATATCTTTGAGCTTTAGACACTTTGGGCTCTGAGAAAGTTAAATATACATAATATAATATATAGTAATAAATTAAGACGATAATCAGCAGATTATCAGACAATTGATATAATTGTTTGTTGCAGCCAACCTGCATATATGAGAGCCTCAAATCTGAAGTTGTTAGATCCTAAATAAGATCTTACAATTGATGAAAGCAATGAGTTCCTCTTTACTGATGACACATTTCCTCTTTGCTTTCTCTCAGGTTGCTCAGTGTGACACCTGCGGTCGCAATCGTAAACTGAGGCAGAGTCTTCCCATGCTGGGAGAGGTCAAACACTTCTGTGACCGGAATTGTCTCCTCCATTTCTGCAATAAAAATGTCCAGATGTTCAACACTGGTATGTATTGTTTGTGCCATTTGATGTTTTGTTTGCCTGTTTTATTGCTCACAACCCTGTTTATGTCTCTTTTTTTTTTTTTTTGTGCGTCTGAAAATAAAAAAACTTTAAAAACTTATATGAGCCAAACTTGATATGTCATAAAACATTAGGCGTCTTGTTGTCTTATCCAGTACCAGAAAATCCATTTATTTGATTTCTTTTTCCTGTGGTGCTTATTTACACATCCAGCAGTTACAGTTATGGATGTAAGTCCAATATTCTCTCTCTTTTAGTTCTGTTTTTGGTCTCCACCAGCTCCTGAGTGAAATATTTGTCTCTCTAGCTGCTAAATGCTCCAGTATGTTCACCAACTAGTCTCTAACTGTGTCTGTCTTAGCTGCTAGTGTACAGTAACCCAAGTAGACCCAAGTGTAAGATGTTGTGAGATCGATCACTAACAGCCCCCGGTGACTCATTCTTGGTCTCCTTCCTGCAGTCTCTTCACCTCCTAGATCTTCAGGGACAGTTGAGTCCTCCCCCGTCATCGCTAACGTCATCTCGCTTGCTAACGCTTTGGCTCGGCAGCCCAGTGCCTCTGACAGCTCTACACAGCACGGTACATGTTTGCACTTACTGGAGAGAAGTTATTGATTGTGAGAAATGAAGATGCTTCATATACTTTGCCTACATCCACGCTCATTTGTTTGTGTTTTAAAATGGTGTTTTAAGAACCAAAACAATAGCATTTTAGCACGGATTTAAGAAAGAATCCCCGTCCGCGCTAACACGCCTGAAAACGCACATCACATGACCGTTCACATGCACTGGGCATACACGTGCCAGTATACAGGAAGCGGATTGTCTACTCTGCGGTTGGTTGCTTAGTTGCAGAAAAAAACTACGTCACTTGGATCGACGACGAGGTGGAACTGTTACACCTGTCATCCGTTATCCGTATTGACCACAGGTTTTTGTTTCTTTTCCTGGAAAAAGGTCACGTGATAGGAGCGTGGCGAATCAGGGAACTGCGAGCGTACATGGACGTCTGCGTCCGCATTTTCAAAAGTCACCACTTCCACCCTTTCAGACGAAAATGCAATCCTGAAGTTTTAAAACTCTTGTTAGGGTTTATAAAACGCCAGAGTAGTGTGGACAAAAGTGGCAAAAGTTTAGCATTTTAAAAAGAAAACATAGTGTGGATGTAGCCTTAGTTGCTGCGGACGTCTTTGTCTTTCTGACTCAAGCTCTGTCATATCTCCACAGTCTCTGTTCCTGACCTTCACACAAAGGTCGTTGGACATGTAAGTTTCACTCCAAAAACATAGTCCTCCCCACGGTTATCATCCTTCTGTTGTCCTCTGAAGCACATAGTGTGATCGTTATTTGTCTGTTCTTCAGGCCAGTGTTCAGACCGTCCCCAGGGAGCTGAAGAACAAAGCCATGCTCTGCACACCGTTGGTCCACAACAAAGGAGTCTCCTGTACGACACAGACTGTCGACTCAGAGTCACAGACGGGTAAGAATCACGACCAGGATTTTTAAATGCTCGGCCAAAGTTTTGCCAAATATCAACTAATCAGCAGCGTCCATCATGGTCAAATGTGCAGATGTACATGTGTACCCTCTTTCCTGAATTAACAGCTGTGATTTTGCTTCTGTTTCCTTTTTCTGTTGTGTGAAGACAACTTTGTACCTAAAGTCATAGTCCTGCCAGTCCCGGTGCCGATGTACGTTCCTCTGCCTATGAACATGTACAGCCAGTACACACTGACGCCCCTGTGCCTGCCTTTACCGGTATGTAAAAACACCTCTCGCCGACCTTGATCACATACAAATATCAGGAAGTTGCTCTGCAAGAGAAACAGTCTCATCCTTTAAATGTATGGATTTTCTGAAATGGTGCTTAGTTATAGTTCAGGTTCTGCCATCGGAAAAATTGTCAAGAAAATGACTTGAATCTGATGCCGAGGCTTCTCTAGAACAAATTGATTTCTTAATTGGTTCCTATTTCCCCAAAAAAGAGCTTCGCTGTTCTCTGCTTCTGTTCTTTAAAGGACAGTGTGTGTGTGGGACACAATGTGCCTTTTAAAACTCAACTCTTGCCATCTCTCTTTTCATCAGGTGTGAGATGATTGTTCTGGTTTAATTCACACTGATTCATCTTTTCTGTTAAACACCAACATCAGGTGACATAAAACCTGATGTATCTCCTTATAGCCCCTTGACTGTAGGTTCAGATTTGTACTATATCAGCAAATATTAAATGTCCCGAAAATAACTGCATGTTGGTGTTTTAAAAAACAAAACAATTTTACACACTCCCCAAACTGTCCCTGCCACAGCTGCCTGTGCCCGTGTTTCTTCCCATCCCGACTGTGAGGTCAGCGAAGGAGGAGATCCAGCCGGACCTGCTGGAGGGAGAGCTCGGTTTCAAGTCTGAGATGAAGGAAGATGAGAGGAAGGAGAGAGAGGACGGAGTGGTGACAGAAAAGGGACAAAGACAAGAAATCCACACTCCATCGGGTAAGACATGATGAACATGAAGGGAAGTGATAGGACTGTTGCACCTGAGGAAGGACTCTATGAGCTAAAAGCAATGGCTGAATCAAGAGAGCTTTATGTTCGAGCTCTTTATTTAATCCTTATGTGTGTCATACAAGAGTTACAGCAGGTTTTAGAGGTTTTTTTATTTTAATATTGTATCTGATTTATTTAGGAGGGACCATGTACAACATTAAACATGTTGCACTGTTGATATTTTATAACACATTTAGCTTCGAGCTCATTTTTATCTGCAGGCCACAATTACAAACATACACGCATGAACACATAATGCTAAATATACAGGAAGAACATATGAATGTTTGCATCACATTATCACCAGCACATAAGAATGCATCGGTTCAAATCGTGTGAACTTCATCTACACCCACGTACAGTATGTTTCCCAAGTTGTTCACGGTTTCTAGTACGAAGCATCTCTGTGTGAGCGGACTGGGAGAGGTTGTGCCTGCTCCTACTCTTCTTCTCCCAGTAAATATTGGTTAGTTTTTGTAACATAATGTTGCTGCCATTTTGGCCAGGGCTTCCTTGAAATTTAGATATAGATCCCAAGACACAATAAAATCCTATCAAATACTATAAAAAAAAAAAAAATAAATAAATAAAGAAGTATTTCTCTATTCTCAGTGACGTCACAGACAACAACATCAAGTTAAACAAACTAATTAGAAATGCTCCAGTTACATAAATATAATTGACAGGCTTGCTGCCCTTTTTATTTCTCAGAAACTTGCCAATTTCAAAAATACATTGTACACAAAGTAAAACTGGTATTTTGTGTGATTTCTTTTTTTAATTTCAACAAATCACACACACACTACGTCCATGACACCGTGTCCTAACTGGCCGCGACCGCCACAATAGACGAGGAACATCTGATTGATTGGTGCAGTTGACATGAGTTCTCTAACCTGAATTGAAGCATCCTCCGTGGCTGAGCTGTAACGGGTAGCTAGCTAAGTGGTGCTAGCAGAATCTGTATAATATATATAATATAACATATCTATATATCTTTATTTCCAGACCACAGCAGTAACTGTAGCGATGACTTGGATACAGATCATCAGGCCACTTTCAACGCTCGGGACGACTCTTCCTCTGACACCAGCTTTGGGTCACTCAGCCGACCACACAGCCACCGAAAAACACCTCCAGCTCCTCCTCCTCCTCCTCCTCCTCTGGAGATGAGAGGGGATCCCCAGAGCTCACCGGGCCCCGAACCGGCCCCTCCGCCATCACAACAAACTGCGGGGAAAGTCCACAACATGAACAAGGTAACAAACCACCCGGGGAATGAGTTTAGAAGCTGTGGTGTCAACCTTCTGTGGTGTCATCTTGTCTGTCCTCTTCATCAAAGGGTCGTAAACTGCAGCAGTCATCCAGAGCAGCTACAGAAGAGACTTGTCAAAGAGAAGAGGTCGTGTCCAGCAAGCACCCGAAACTGAAGAGTCAATGTGGAATTGACTCCTGGAAGAGGTGGATTCAGTGGAGGGAAACACAAACCAACCTCGTTTCTTGTATGTTATTCTTTCTTTTTTGTTATGCAATTTTATTTTCAGTCATTTATGTGTATGTTTTTACCGGAACAAAGCTGAACAAATGCAGGTTCAAATGGATGTTGAACCCTTTTCTCCCGACTCGTTCCTTCTGTTAGCTCCAGCTCTGATGTTAAAGGAAGATGTTCTTCGCTGCTCTGTGAGCGAGCTAAGCGACAGCCTCTGTTGTTTCATCACTGAAGTGAAGCAACCCGATGGAGAGCCCTACTCCCCCGACAGCCTGTTCTACCTCTGCCTCAGCATTCAACAGGCAAGACGGGCAACACTGTACTCTCTCACTCACACACACACACACACACACACACACACACACTTACAGTACACTAGCTATGACTGGCTGTGTCAGGGTGATGTTTCTCTCCCACACCAGATATCTGTCTTAACATGTGGATTCTTGCCTTCTAGATCTTTTTGGTTTATGTCCTTTTTTTATTTTGGATGAAATTTTGTTAAACTCTGAAATATGACTTGTTCATGTATCTTTTTTTTTTAATACATTTTGTTGACAAAATTGTGTAGGAGGCTAAATAATCATCATGTGCCTCAATTCATAATACACAATATAATAATCTCTTTTTCTTAAAATTCTAATTGCAACAGTTTTTCTTTATTGTTCATGACATTTTATGATTGGGCATAATTTGTGCTTATGCAATATGAATATTGGGACACTAAATATTTATTTCCCGAAATCCAATTCTATGTAGAGTCATTGTGTTGAACAAGCGACTGATTTGAGTCACAGCTGTACAGCACCGGCGCCCTCTGCAGGAAACGTTCACACAGCATTCATACCCCCTTTAATGACCGCAGGAACTTTCCCCAGTGACGAGGAACCTTTTGGGGAACTCGTAGCGTTTTGATCACAGGGACCAGGTGCTAAATTAAGCTCAGGGGATACCCCTCAAAAAGGTCCTGGTCTGGGGGTGAAGAGTACCTTCTGAAAGTGCAGGAACTTTGAGGGTGGGGTTTGCAGGGATGACCGTCGTTGATTGGTCAAAACACACACAGCGCCGCTGCTTCAGCTTGTGCACAGCAAAACAAAATGATTTTTTAGATGAAACGTCTTTAGATCGCTATGGAAACACATTGGGCTGAAGGAACCTTTTTTAGTTCCTTGAAAAGTATCCTCCGTGAACTTCTAGGTGTAGCTTTTCATTCTCTTCTTCTGTTTTCTGCAAACTGCAGAGGATACACCTTCAGAAACCAGTGTCTACGGTCACACAGTTTGTTGTTGTTGTTGTTGTGTCTGACTGTTATTTCGTCGTTCCTCCTCAGTACCTGTTTGATAACGGCCGTCGGGAGAACATCTTCAGTGATCTGACCTACAACAAGTTCGCCACAAAGTTCACCAAGATCCTGAAGAGTTTCAATCCCTCTGCGGCAGCCGGCGGTGAGTCCTCGTGTCTTTTTCATTGTTTTGGCCTCTGATCGTCTCGGATCGAGCAGGTTCCCAACAGGTCCTCCTCTCTCTCTCTCTTCAGGTTATATCCACTCCCGTGTGGAGGAGGAGTTTCTGTGGGACTGCAAACAGCTGGGGGCGTACTCTCCCCTCGTCCTCCTCAACACTCTGCTCTTCTTCTGCTGCAAGTACTTTGGCTTCACCACGGTGGAGCAGCACCGCCAGTTGTCCTTCGCCCACGTCATGCGCTGCACCAAAACCACCCCGAACAACACCAAGACCACCTTCCTGCGCTTCTACCCGCCAATATCCACAAACGAAGCGGAGACAGGTACATTTAGTTTTGTCTAAAAGCAGTTTACATGTGGAAGATGAACATCACAAGATCATTTCCCTGAAACAGACGTCTCTTTTGGCCCCCCTTCATGGCATATTGAAGTTACTGGTTATGAAACGGTCTCAGTTTAATACTGATGCCTCTGAATGACCTACATATGTAAACAAGACCATCAGAGAGAAGATTGTCTATTTCTATTAGTTATTCTTAATGCAGACCCTGCTGCAGTAAAATGAGAGCTTTTCTAAAGAGAATCAAAAGGGACTGCCAAAATCAACACAAAATTAAGTAATACACATAAGGAATGTGTTTTTGTCACATGCACATTTGGGTTGCTATATTGCACTTACAGAAAGTTGTGTGTGTTTGTCAGATGCAGACGGAGTTCCTGCTAAGAAGCGCAGGAGAGACGAGAGTAAAGAGGATTTCCTGGAGATGATGGAGAACATGGAGAACCCTCTCCGCTGTCCGGTCAGACTCTACGAGTTCTACCTCTCCAAGTGGTTCGTAGCTTTATTTTCTATGTATTTTAGTTCAGTCGTGTCATTCACTTTTTATCTACGTTATTACTTTTCCTCTCCTGCTGATGGGATGATAGGATTTAAGATATTTCTGGGATTTTTATTAACTATTCACTATTATATAAAAAGTGCAGATCATTTGAGGATTTTCTATGTGAACAATGTGTCCTTTTTAAATGTTGCGTTGCAGTTTACTGTCGTCTGTCTTTTGTGTCAGTTGTTTTGTAAATTCAATCATCTCAAAAAATATATAAAATGCAGTTATAAAAATAAGCAGCTCTTATGTCTTCATGCTTTTTGAACTGTCGTAAAATAGAAGAAACTAAAGAAATTGTACTCGGTCTAATAACAGATAACAGTCTAATCGCAAGGCCTTTACACACCGGGGGTGTGACGTATGTATGAAACAAAAATGTGAAATACTCTCATGCGAATATTTTGCATCAAAACTATTACTGGCAGTGATGCAGATTTGCGACGGTTGCTTCACTCTTTCAATAAGAGGTGCGACTAGATTTGCGCAGGCAGAGGATCCTATTGTGTGTGTTGTATCGCCTCAGCTACTGTGAGCTACTGTATTTAGTTTTATTGAGTGAATTTAAAAAGCAGTTACACAGTGTATATGTCTAGGGCTTTTATTGTGAAAGGTAAGAACATAAGGAGTGGATCTGGTCTGCGCTGCAAGGTCAAGGTTGTAAGGAGTAATAAAGTTTGCCGTCTTGGTTCAGACTACTGAGCCTCTGTGTTGTTGTACTCGATAGTGTACATTTTGAACAATTCTAATTCTAAACCCTGTTTGCAAACAAGTCCAGGTAAAGTCCTTCATCTTTATCATCAGTCTTAAAGTTTGTACCGTACCACTCGGAGTACTTCCATGTAGACTAGTTCACACATAACAACACAACATAATTACTTATGAACTTGTTGCATGTTATGTAAGCATCGTCCTGTGGATCAGTCTGTCCGTTTACATCAGCTCCTGATCTTTACCAGCTGTCAGTCTAAACTTATCCACCGTCTTTTATTTTGTGATTTTCTGTCCTTCCATCCAGCTCGGAGTCGGTGAGGCAGCGCGCCGACTTGTTCTACCTTCACCCGGATCGCCGCTGCGTTCCCAACAGCCCTCTGTGGTTCTCCCCGACCCCTCTGGACGACGGCACCATGGAGGCCATGCTCGTACGAATTTTGGCCGTCCAAGAGCTGCAGGGGCAAGATGGAGGAGCTGTGGACCGGCAGACGTCTGGTGACACGCTGTTCATACCCGAGGAGGAGGATTCGGAATGGTGAAGGACTTTTTTTTTTTTTTTTCCTTTTTTTTTGGAGAACTGTGGTTAATTTGACGATTTAAAGATGTATACAAACTAAAGAGAAATACATTCCATTAAATATAAATATAGAAATGATGTCTCTCAAACCTACAAAAACAGGCTTTTTTTAGTCAAGTCATCTGCAGGTTAAGATCAGAAGTTTGAATGTTTTACCAACTTCTGAAAACTCACATCCATGTTTTGGGATTACTTTAATCTCTCTGTGGTTTGAACTCGGATAAGAACAAAGCTGCATCGTTCTTAAACGGGACAGATTGACAATAAGTTCTGGTTAAGTTAAAACAGAACTTGAGCAGCCCTCCTTTTTAAGTGGCTCCACCACATTGTTTACAACCCTGACACTCTGAGCCATGTTACAGTGTTTGTGTGGAACTGATACTGATGCCTTTCGTCTTTAAAAGAGAAAAGAAGGGAAGGTTTACCCTATAACGGGACGATTTTACTGGTTTTCAGGTTTTTGATTCGTCTCAGTTGAATGTTGATGCTCGAGATTTACTTATTTTTATTTTCAATAAATGAAAATATTGAAAAGTTATTCTTGTTTTACCTTTTTATTATTATGCATATCTAAAAAATGAAGAAAAAAAGACTTAGAAAGTTTACTATTGTTCTGCCTCTTGTATACACCCACTCTTTTTTTTAAATGCTCTAAAGTCACAAACAAATGGAAAACACAAAAAAAGTTTATGGGTTAAAAAAGTTCAATCCATTTTTAAAGGTGACTCGAGCTTTTGTAGCACAAATGAAGAAGAAAAAATCAAGTTAATTCTGCACAAACTTTATAATGTTGGTAAACACATTCAAGAAGTAATGTTTGCATTTATTTGTTTAGTCATTTGCTATATTAAGAATGACATCGCTCCACATTCTGCATCCTGTACTGAGTTTAACGGACAGAACAAGACTTCAGACGCACTTTAAATGTCTAGTTTGTTCCGGTTTGTCTGTGAGGCGCACCGCAGCATGATGGAACCAACACTTCAGGTCCCCCGTCCTCACACAGTCCTCTCCATCAGGATACTCCTCATTTTCTCCTTTCCAGTCGTCTGGCTCATCATTACGCCAAAACTCCAAACTGAGATGTTGGGAACAGAAAGAACTGGTTCAATAAAACTAGTAACTTTTATATTGGAAATTGACAGGAGTTGAACAGTCAAACCTCGTGTCCAGTTGTCTGCCCACAACCGCCTCGTATTTTACTTTTGTGAACTTTTGCAACTACTGTGTTATCCCTGCTTCTCTCTGCTGTCTGTCTTAACCAGATTTCCTCCTCGATATTTACATTCACGTCTGCTCTCTTCCCAGGTTGACTTATTGGTGGAGAAATAATAGCCTTCTTCACACTCTGGAAATGAGTCATCACGAGAATAGATCACATCAAACACACTTTGTTCATCATCAGAGGATGCAAACACGTAAGAAATCCATCACTTGCGTATTTTTACTTGAGGTTCTGGCCACTTGTACTCTCGTCTGGATGGACTCTGAGTTGAGAACCTGAACATGAGATCAAAACTCTTTCACGGTCAGTTGAGTCGAAACAGAAACATAACGGATTAATATGAGGGGTTAATATCCAAAATGTGACACACTTTTAAAATGACGTTGCAGCTGATGAAGCTTATGTGAGATTTTTTCCTACAGCATCAAGCTCATAGTTCAGCTTTTGGAGAAGTTCCATGTTTTTATAAGCTGATTAAAACAAAGCAAGGGAGTCTCTGCACTAACAAATATGATTACTCGCAGACAAACTTCACTCAGCCTACGAAGCTCCACGGCAGGAAGAAGGAGACTAACGGGAGACATGGAGCTTGACACACAACAGATGACTAAACAAAAGACACATGTGGCTCTTCTTCATGGTCGGTTCCTCATTTCCCTTCGACCGTGACTTCTTCTCTGAACTACCTCACCCTGTCACCACATCCTCTCTTCACTGGAGATGGTTTCTCTCTTCCTTTGCAGTTCACTAAACAGGCAAAATGAACCATGTATTTGCAATAAGGTGTGATCGCACTCAGTCGAAAACAAATGCTCTTTGTTCAGTTTACTTCAGCATGTCACCGACTGCTTCTGATGCTGCTCTTAAGTTCTGGTAAAGTTACTGTATATGTTTTTAAAATCCCAGCTTTTGGCCTTTAAATGATCTTTTAACCTTCCACATAGAATGCATGCTCCTAACATTACTGTACATTTAAAGTACAAACATTAAATGTGGTTTCAAAGCCTAAAGTTACTTGAGGATGCAGTATTTCCAAGAAAGAATACACATTTCTAATACTTTTTTTTTTTTTGGACCAAGCACTCAGAAAGCTCTGTATGGTTGAAGGATGCAGGTTTTTGTTCTGACAAACAGATCGTCATAAAATGTGTTTTTTATTTTACCCACCAGGAAGCTCTGAGGATGGCTGAGTGCTCAAGATCCTGACTTGAGAGTCAGGCGGTGAGGAAGCGGTCCCGAAACACAAAACATTCTGTTGAATGAGCTGCAGATATGCGTGCTGACTTCTGATAAAGTGTGAGATTAAACACTCATATTCCACTTCAACTCCGACACATCTTGGAGGTATTTCTGAGAAAGCTCTGGTAGCATTCTTATAAATAAGAGGGATGTAAATGCTACCATGTCACCATTAGTGTTTCCCCTCTCTCTTGTGAACATTACATCAAGAGTACAAAACATCAGCCTCAGACATTTCATCTCTGTGATCACCAGTGACTTTAAAACGGAACTAAATAAACGTTTCACATGCTGTCTGACCTGAGGATGGGGAGGGAGTTATAAAGTGTTGCAAAAGTTGTTTTTAATCATTGGGTAATTTGAAGACATTTATGTTCTGTAACAGGAAAGTCACATATAGATCAGGGTTTGAGCTTTTTTTAAATTTAGTTTGAGGTTTTCATAGAGGAAGTGATGAGGGTTTTTTTTGTAACTGTGGGTCGACAGGACTGAAAGATTTGTTTTATGTGGAAAATGGGGAAAACAAAATGAAAGAAAAACGAAACGGATTCCAGAAATTGCCCTCACTCCCCATAACTACTGAATGATTTCTCACCATTAAAAAAAGGGAAAATGCTAAGTTAGCCTCATAAATACGTCCTATATAGTAATATTTAACATAGCATCCTACATAGTTGGTAAAGTCTACTATAATGTTTCTGCAGGGGCAAAATGCATACCATTACTGCATAATATAATAGCAATGTTTCGTTCTTAGAAAAAGATAAATCATTTTGCCAATAAATAAATAACTCAAATTCTAATGAACTTTCAAACTGTATCTTATAGTCATAAGTGTCAGAGTTTTCTCAATAGTTATTGAACCTTGAATGGATTTGTTTTATGCTGCCAGGATCAAGAATAAATCATTTCATTGAAGTCTTGAAGTCAACATAACTTCTCTAATTTGACATCTGTGACATTTTCTCGATTTCACCCTTGAGTACCAGGGGAAAAATAAAAAGAGATAAATAATCTATGATAAATAACAAGAATACAAAACGAATGTAAGAAGAAATATCAACAATAAGAGCACTGATGTGTAATAAAATACAATAAATAAATCAACATTCCCTATTGAAGCCCTTTTCGGATATTACACAACGCAGCGTCACCCAGATGTTATCCAATCAACGCGCACAATTTTTGACAGAGCAGTCGGGTGGCCAATCAAAACACCGCATTTCCCAGTAGAGGCGGGGTTTAACCGTTGTAACAGAAAGTAGGCGGAGACGTTTTCTCTTCCGTCTGAACTTGGCTGAGGTGTCACCAGGACGACTCGGACAGACTTCACTAAAGTTTCTGCCCTGGTGGTCTCCTGGTCCAGACATGGCTCCCAGCGCGCAACTCAAGGAGGCGATAGCCGACGTGCAGGAGGGGATCCGTGCCATCCTGCTCGGACCACCCGGAGCCGGGAAGGGGACTCAGGTGAGAGAGAGAGCTAATGGAGCTAGCTGTTAGCCGTTAGCGCATGGCCGGAGCGGTGTCAGTGCTAGCTAATGCTAACGTGATTTCACCCGGCTTCAGCGTTACCTGGTTCCGTTTGTCACTGCACCTCTCAGAGAAACGCAGCTGGACAGTCTGTTTCATAATGAAGTGAACTATTATAACAACCTCATTACTATCAGAGACACTTAGAATATGCATGTATGCACGCAGTTTAGTCTGAAATGAGCTACTTTAAAACCCTGTTGTCAAAAGTGAGCCTTTGTCATCTGCTGTCTATCTGCTAATGTTACGTTATTCACTGCTGCAGCAAAGGTTAATTGCAGGGCATCCTCTAAAGGTTACTTCCGTTATTGTTTATAGTCAATGAATAACTTGTATTCATTCAATTAACATCCATACAACATTTACAATGCTCATCACAGTTAAACAAAGACTGACATGATGTTATATGATATATCATACAAAATATATTAACATTATGAAGTGAACAGTATGAAATGAATGTCAAGGTATGAGCAGTGTGAACATGAGCAGCAGTCACGACAGTATAAAGTGCAGGTATAAATACAAGTATACACTGTAGTGGCATAGATATATCATATCTCTATAATGTTATTGTGGATTTATTACTTGTTGATTTTAATATAAGAAGGCAACAATTTTAATAAACTGTTAATTCTACAAATTAGTTTTTCAAGAGAATATGGTTCCTGCTTTTCACATGTGAGGATTCTTTGTTTTCTATCATTAAAGATGACATCTCTTTGGGTTGTACATTGTTAGTCAGACAAAACTAATAATTCAAAGATGCATCTTTGGTCCTGGGGAGTTGTGATGGGCATTTCCACTGTTTTTGACATTTGATCAACTATATGATTTATCACAAATAATCAACCGATTAACTGATATTGAAAATAAATGTTTTTCTTCCCTATTTATCTTAATGTCTGGGACCAAAGCTGCCGCAGTGACCACGATGTAGATCAGGGGTTCTCAAACTCTTTGGGGCCAGGGACCTCTCATTCAGGAGAAAACTTCCCAAGGACCCCTTCATCATCATAACGCAGACTAGGCATACGCTCAATACCATTTATGCAAATAGTACTATTTGTTTAAAATACAGAACGTATTGCTATGTGTCCCAGCATCTGATGTCCCAATCACATCAGATGCTATTGGCCCTATTGGCCCTGAAGTGAGAGTAATGGACACTATGCCTGTTTTTTTGACGCAAATGGTCCCCATCTGTAGATGTGCACTTTTTAATGATTCAGCACAATTTTATACCAAATGATATTGTGGCCCCCCTGACAGAGTGCTATGGACCCCTTGGGGTCTCAGGTCCCCACTCTGAGAATCACTGATTTAGATTTTGGGTGGCCGTTTGACAGCAATGTAAAATAAGTGAGAATAAAGAGAGAGCTCAGGGGGAAGTTCAGCAGGATGTGTTCTGGTCAAACCAGTTCTTCAGGTCGATCAGCCGGTCTTCTAAGAATGGGATAAACGTTGTGCCACTGTGGAATCTAAAGCTGGTAAATGCATTGTGCAATTTTCCAAACATTTACTGATATTAAAATAGAATGATCTATCCACAAATCTGTAGAATATCTACGAGTACGAGCAGGATGGTGAAGATAACTGTGGAGAACAAGCCCCTTCTTAAAGGCACATGGTTGCCTTTAGCCCCATTTATGAGCCAGTTTCATGATTACATCAGTCAGACTTGTGTTGAAACTTTGTTGGAGACAAAAACCCAAAGTGTTGCCAACAAAAAAAAGAGATGAATGTCTGTCGTGTGACATCTTGTCGTGCACGTTGAAGTGCACAGACGACCGCTCTGGTATTACTTCTCTTTGTTTCTTTAACACTTATCTGGTTTCAGTCTTGAGAGTTCTCAGTGAAGCCCTCTGTGGGAGTCCCACTCTGAAGATTCACTTCATCAGTCTACAGAAAACATTAGCAACCTTTCTCTTATTCACTTAATATATGTATAAAGTTATTTTTTTAAATATTCTGACTTTTTTTTTTGTCTTGCATTATAGTGAACTGATCGTCTTTGCATTTGGCCAGACGAGAGTGATTTTATTTAGAATGTAGGCCGGTCACGATATCTACTTTTGTTAGACCAGATTTGTCCCAGAAATAATTTCAAATCTTTAGTTTCAGCCCTGGTTGTATTGCATGTTGCTTGCTTCGATATGATGCATGCAATGTTGCAGGTGAAGCCGTGTGCAAAATATTAAAGTTGCTAAATTCAAAATTCATATCAGGTTCATAGAGAACATATTAAGGTACTGCCTCTCAATGCACAACCTGTCCTGTAACTCCTCCTCCTCTTCATCGCCCTGACGTGACACTAATAAACTTAAATGAACCTGTAAACCAAGCTTTCAACTCATTAGCAGAGAGAAGCTGTTCCTTCCTAATAGGTCGAGATGTATACATCACAACTGAACATACCAGAGAGGTGGCTTGTCCTGCATAACTATAAATCTCTGCCGCTGGAAACTTTTCGGTCTCGCAGCCAAAACACTGCTTTCGTGCTTCTAGCGGCCAACAATGCAGGTGGTTGGTTCTCTGACAGAACAGCGGGCAGAACAAAATAGAACAGCCAAACGTTTTCTTTGTCCGTCTGGTTGGTGGTGATAGTTTAACACTTTCCCTAATGAAAGAATCCCTCTCCTCCCCTGCAGGCCCCCCGGCTAGCAGAGCAGTACTGTGTTTGCCACCTGGCCACCGGAGACATGTTGAGGGCCATGGTGGCCTCGGGCTCGGCGCTCGGCAAGAGGCTCAAGAATACCATGGATGCCGGCAAGCTGGTAACGTTTCGTGCTCCTCTGCTTCACACCATCTCTCTGTGTGTTTGTCTTTCTCTGCCCTCTTCGCCTTCCGAGGCTCTGCGCTGTTACAGGCCTTCATGTTCAGTCCCACGTGACATCACGTCTCATGCTTTGTTTGTCCTCAGTGACATTTCCAGCTGAAATGGCTTAAACACACACACAACAAGTGAAAGACAGCAGACCAGATTTCCCTGAGAAAAAACACATTCCTTTAAGTTGGAGCTCGGCCATGTTTGGAGAAAAGTAACACTCGTCTGCTAGTGGAGGCCAAAATACACGTAGGGCGACTCCTTTGGTTGCAGATAGAAGTCTGATTGTATGGAAGTCTGAAAAAATGACCCTACTGTGTTACCTCAGTAAACATGAGTTGATGGTCTCAATCTCAAGTTGCAAGTCATCTTCAATCGACATGATGTTCATTTAGTAAAAGTGTCTTTGGTTCACTTGCAGGTCAGCGATGAGATGGTGGTGGAGCTCATAGAGAAGAACTTGGACACGCCGCCCTGCAGGAAGGGCTTCCTGTTGGACGGGTTCCCTCGCACCGTCAAACAAGCAGAGATGGTTAGGATTTCATCTGACGCCGTCGCTTTCTGCTGTTATGTGAAACAAAACTGTACCGAGTGCAGCACTGCATGAATAACTTGTAGAGCAAAATAGAAATTTAAAGGATAGCGTGACAATTTAGGAAATGAAGAACAAACAGGAAATCACTACTCCCGGAGAGAAATAGTTCCAGCATGTAACTCCCTGGACCACCACAACTTGTTTTTACATTTGGTCTTGTGTACACATTAAACAGACAAGTTAAAACGTGCTGATAATCGTGCCTTTTAGAGGTCCTGTCATGTGCATTCTGGACCTTCCAGTCTTTGTCCCGGCTCCGGCTCCACATTGCCAAAATGTCCAACTATTACTTTGATTAAATTAAGGTTCAGTGCAATAAAGATCCTACTGCACCGTTCATACTAACGGCACAATTCAAAGAGAGGCTACAATACTAGCAAGACAAACTGTTCCACCACTTTACATATTTTTGCTGTCAGTTTGAATACGAAAGCTGTATTTTTACTTTGATTGAAGGATTTTAACGTCTTTTAAAGGATCAAAAAGTGTACATCCCTTAATCAACTGACGAATGAATTAAATGCATGATGATGAAACTAAAAACTTTTTATTTCTCAAATATCAATCACAAAAAAGCATTGGCGTTGCTTTATAGCGGAAGCTTTTCGGATGGAGTCCAAAACTTGTCCTTCAATGAGGTTTTTATTATATAAAAAAATCTATAAAATACAAAAACATTATTTCCCAGAATGACTATCTCAATCTCATATTTACCAGAAAAAATAACACGGAAAATGGGAATAGATGAGAGAACAAGGAGGTTTTTTTTACTTGCATATGATCCAATATATGAATGAATAAAGCCATGTCTCTAATAATATGATGCAAATGAAGGCATCGTTTTGTCTTTCATTTAATTAAAAAACAAAACTATTCCGTGTGTGAATGAGAGACAAATTGTGTAAAGTAAAAATAAATGCAGCCATGTGCTATGAGAATTACATTTTTCACTCGGTAACTAATACATTTTAGACATCCAGCTGTTTCTATTATTAGAAAAAAAGCCTTGAACAACAGACATCAGTCATGTCGTATGTTTGACTCCTGCGTTTGTCCGTTGCAGCTGGACGACTTGTTGGACAAGAGACACGAGAACCTGGACTCGGTGATCGAGTTCGCCGTCGATGACTCTCTGTTGGTCCGCAGGATCTGTGGCAGGTAGGATCCGGCCTGAGGGGGAACGAATCATCCAGGAGAGGATCCAATCTGTTTTGAGTTTCTCAGGCACAACAGTAGTTCATGAGTTACCGGGATGCTGCTGCTCCTTTTGAATGAGAAGCAGCAGGTAGATTGATTCACGTGAACAGAAGAGTCTGGGACGGTGAGATGATGCCGGAGGGAAGTGGAGCGGGAAGTCACGCGATTAAGAAGGTGGTCTGAGGGGGTCGCAGGTTGAATCCTTTAAGACGTCCCTGTGTCTGTCCCTGATGAAATGTCCTGAACTCCGCTAAGTGCCTCCCTGTATTTTTATACGCTACTTTATCACGAGTCTCCAAAGGGACACGCGTGTGTTAGAATGGAGCTACAGCTCGTTAGTGACCCTCACATTTACAGGAACACACACAGGAGGTAATGGTGAAGATTTATTGTCAATGTCAAGAAAGATGACCTCTCTTTTCTCACACGGTGCTTTCAGATAGTTTCGGGACATTGACCAATTTCAAACAGTCTGTTGCGCTATCGGGAGGCTCCGGGCGTAAAGAGACGATGGCAGAGAGGGTTTCTACTGCGATGCACCCTCAACCTCTCAGAAGAGAGGAAAACCCCTTTTCTGTGTGTCTCTTACTGACTGAGTGAAGGGTGAGAGTAAGACTGACCCTCGTGAAGAGGAGGTTCTCCTCTGACACCGTTTGTTTAAGTGTGCATTATGTGTGAGAGAGAGTGATGCAGTAAGCCGGCCTCTAACCATTTGGTGATGCAGCTCTTCTGTACTCTGTGGTCTGACCTGGCACTGATGCATTTATGTAAGCTCCACAGGTTGAGGCCTGTAGTGAAAGCAAACATTTAAAGAAAACTTAACTGGCAGCGTCTCCTTGTCTCTTAGTACTTTTCCATCTCTCCCCCACCCCCCGCCGTGCAGCAAGTCATTATTTACACAACCGCTTTGAACCCGTTCAACATAACAGGCCTTGCTCTGATTTGACGCTGACTCAGCACATTGAGCAGGCAGACGTGTTCACGATGAAGGTCTGAACACGTCTGCTGTGTTAGTGCTGTTGTGAAATCCTTTCTTCATGTTTGTTACGGCGGCACAGTGTTCAGAGTGAATAGAGGGCAGTTTGCAAAGAGCCATCTTACTGGCCGCGGGGGTCCTTTGTGAGGACGAGGAGGTGGCCGCCTGCTGCCTTTACACGCCCAAAAAGAAGAGAGGGCATTATGTGGGATGTGAAAAGGACAGTTAAGTAGTTAGTGAGTCACTGTGGCCGTCTAACCTTCGTCTATCCTCCTCTGCGCTCTCTCATTTCTTCTCCGTCCTTGTCCCGTCCTCCTCCTCTTCCCTGTTTCCTCAGACTAATTCATCAGCCGAGTGGCCGCTCTTATCACGAGGAGTTCAACCCCCCCAAAGAGCCCATGAAGGATGACGTAAGTAGTTTCACTATCAACCCACTTAGAAGCCACTTTTAGCTCAAGTGCCACCTACCTAAAACCATGGCCAAGCTGGAAACTGGTGACAATCAGCCAACCATAGACTGAAGTGCTTTGATGCAAACTGAATGTATAAAATGTTTACTCCTCATTTAATACTTTGAGGTGTTTATGTTTAAAAGCTATCATCCTTTGATTCATTGTATTTAATCAGGACAAACCAAAAAGAAGTACAGTGGGGCAAAAAAGTATTTAGTCAGCCACCAATTGTGCAAGTTCTCCCACTTAAAAAGATGAGAGATGCCTGTAATTTTCATCATAGGTATACCTCAACTATGAGAGACAGAATGGGGGGAAAGAATCCAGGAAATCACATTGTAGGATTTTTAATGAATTAATTGGTAAATTCCTCCGTAAAATAAGTATTTGGTCACCTACAAAGAAGTAAGATTTCTGGCTCTCACAGACCTGTAACTTCTTCTTTAAGAGGCTCCTCTGTCCTCCACTCGTTACCTGTATTAATGGCACCTGTTTGAACTTGTTATCAGTATAAAAGACACCTGTCCACAACCTCAAACAGTCACACTCCAAACTCCACTATGGCCAAGACCAAAGAGCTGTCAAAGGACACCAGAAACAAAATTGTAGACCTGCACCAGGCTGGGAAGACTGAATCTGCAATAGGTAAGCAGCTTGGTGTGAAGAAATCAACTGTGGGAGCAATTATTAGAAAATGGAAGACATACAAGACCACTGATAGTCTCCCTCGATCTGGGGCTCCACGCAAGATCTCACCCCGTGGGGTCAAAATGATCACAAGAACGGTGAACAAAAATCCCAGAACCACACGGAGGGACCTAGTGAATGACCTGCAGAGAGCTGGGACCAAAGTAACAAAGGCTACCATCAGTAACACACTACGCCGCCAGGGACTCAAATCCTGCAGTGCCAGACGTGTCCCCCTGCTTAAGCCAGTACATGTCCAGGCCCGTCTGAAGTTTGCTAGAGAGCATTTGGATGATCCAGAAGAGGATTGGGAGAATGTCATATGGTCAGATGAAACCAAAATAGAACTTTTTGGTAAAAACTCAACTCGTCGTGTTTGGAGGAGAAAGAATGCCGAGTTGCATCCAAAGAACACCATACCTACTGTGAAGCATGGGGGTGGAAACATCATGCTTTGGGGCTGTTTTTCTGCAAGGGGACCAGGACGACTGATCCGTGTAAAGGAAAGAATGAATGGGGCCATGTATCGTGAGATTTTGAGTGGAAACCTCCTTCCATCAGCAAGGGCATTGAAGATGAAACGTGGCTGGGTCTTTCAGCATGACAATGATCCCAAACACACCCACAAATGCCCGGGCATTTCAAGGTCCTGGAGTGGCCTAGCCAGTCTCCAGATCTCAACCCCATAGAAAATCTGTGGAGGGAGTTGAAAGTCCGTGTTGCCCAGCGACAGCCCCAAAACATCACTGCTCTAGAGGAGATCTGCATGGAGGAATGGGCCAAAATACCAGCAACAGTGTGTGAAAAGCTTGTGAAGACTTACAGAAAACGTTTGACCTCTGTCATTGCCAACAAAGGGTATATAACAAAGTATTGAGATTAACTTTTGTTATTGACCAAATACTTATTTTCCACCATAATTTGAAAATAAATTCTTTAAAAATCAGACAATGTGATTTTCTGGATTTTTTTTTTCTCATTTTGTCTCTCATAGTTGAGGTATACCTATGATGAAAATTACAGGCCTCTCATCTGTTTAAGTGGGAGAACTTGCACAATTGGTTGCTGACTAAATACTTTTTTGCCCCACTGTAACTGTATGTACTGTATGTGAAGAGACTGAGTTAGAGAATATGTTGTTTTCATTCATTTGGACATCAGAGAAGAGTTCAGCTTGGTGGAGGAACCACTGTAGAGAGACAATTTGGCTTTATTTATTCAAGATTATTTTTGGCATTTCTGCTTGATCTCTCAGAGAGAGAGAGAGAGAGACACACACACACACACTCTCACTCACACACACAGAGAGACACAGACGGTCCTGGGTCGGACTTGAACCTGAGCTACTGTGGCAATGGCTCAGCCTTAAAGGTGAACTCCACCCAGTCTGCTGCTGGGACGCCCCAAGACTAAAGGTTTTTATCAGGTGATGACAGATCAGAGTTTTACTGTTTTGAGGAAATGATTCCATTTTAAGGTTATGTATTAAATGAGTGATGCTGCTGTTCAGATGTTCATCTCCCATGGCTGACTTTACTCAGCAGAGGCAGTAATTGATGGAGCACATTACGTGTTCACTTTGTGGTAGTTTAAGCAGCATTTCACAGTAATGGGAAGAAAACAAAACATTCTAGGAAGAAAGTGTGAGGAACAATGAACTTTAATTAATGAGAGCTATATGGTCTGTGCTCAAATGTGACCTTTGTAGTTTCCAGGAAATGTGGATTTAAAAGAGTCAACAGGTTTGGCGTACTGATCAGGTACCAGAGCCCTCTTCTTCCCAGATGTAAAACTCATCGGGATCATTTTCATGTTGGGTAACATGTCGGGGCTGAATGGATCGGTCGGGTCTGGCCGATACCTGATAGGACAGGTTTCACCATCTCAGTCTGTTTTCTTTCTCTCTGTCCCTCTCCTCGTGTGTTTTCTCCTGTCCTCCCCTCAGCTGACCGGCGAGCCGCTCATTCGCCGCAGCGACGACAACGAGACGGCGCTGCACTCCCGCCTGGAATCCTACCACCGGCAGACGGTCCCTCTGGTCAACTACTACAGTGCCAGGGGCCTGCACGCGGCCATCAACGCCGCCCAGAGCCCGGACGTCGTCTTTGCCTCCATCGTGGCCGCCTTCTCCGACGCCACGGAAATCCCCGCCCGAGACGTCGCCTGTAAAGACCAAGTGTTCTTCACTTAAAAAACCCTTTTTTCCATCCTTCTCGTTTCCCTTCCGACGGGTTCTTTCTTCTTTTTCCCCTTCATGGGTGGAGATTACACAAGAGTCGATCATGTGTCACAGTGGCAACAAAATGTAACTTTGCGAGGTGTAAACGCGGAGGACGGAGGCTCAGTGTGGCATCTGCAATTCAAGAAATGCACAATGTTCCACCAGTGTGATCCCTGTTGTAGAAACGGAAAGGATTGAAAGAAATTTTTTTTTTTTTTTTGCTCTTCATCGCCAAATCAAGTCTGAAAGGGAACCATGTAGACACAAAACAAGCTAAGCACCGCGCCTTCAACGTAGAGATGAGGTTCACTGTTGTGACATTGAGCAGAAAGCCATTTCTAGAGATGCTGTTCACTGGAAGGTGTAATAAATATTGCCGCTTGTTGCATATTGTTTGCCTTCACTGGACAGGTTTGCTCTTGTTTAATCAATGACTTTGCCCTTTTCTCTTCCCGAGTGTCTCACCCTCTTCCTATCAGCTACATGCCTTACTCTTTTACTTCCTTTAAAGGTAGAAGTACATTAGAAGCATGAGACATGCATCGTCCAGCCTGCCAGTCTTTTTCAGCTCTAATTTGTGGCACTGAGAGAGGAAGCAGTTGGGTTTTCATCCAGTGTCATAAAACTGCAATGACCCTTTCAACGCTTTGAAAAGAACACGAGGCATGGTGTTGATGCATGGTGTTATTGCCTGAGAAGTTAGGCTGAGGAAACGCCAATTAATGAAACCTAAAATCCAACATTTGTAGCTTGCCTAGCATTAAATTAAGAAATACAGAATACAAATTTTTGCATAATCTCTACAGGATCAAAGGTTTCAAACTGAGGCCTGCTGGCTGTGACACAGCTCATGGAGGCAATTCAGAAACAACGCAATTTGTGTCAAATTTTGCCCTTAGTTAGTATTCAGTAAAACCTGGTCATGATCCCCTTTTTTTAGATTCAGTGTGTCTTACACTTTTTGAGAACATCATTATCCGTCATGCCCAGTGCAAAGAAATGCCCATAAAACCACTCAAACACTCACAGAAAGATGCTCTTTTTCACTCCAGAACATGCTTAAAGCTTTAAAGTGTTCTTCAGTATGAAAGTAATCCAGTGATAGTTATCCGTACACACAGGGGTACATCGTAACCAGGACCTGCTACTTCAGCTTACTTTTGATAGTGCTAAGTTGGCAAAATTTGAACAAATATACAAATATAGGCAGTTATTTTATCTGAGCTGGCTCACAGTGTCAGACTTTGAAAACCTTTTAAACTTTTGTGACACGCATAACAAAATCTCTCGAGGTTTTAATCTCAGACCTCCAGAATCAGGGGCTTCAAATGAAGCCCCCCCCATGTGTCCCTTTCTTCATCTACCACTTCCTCGCACCGCTCTCCTCTCTCGGACTCCATGAATGACCTGTGTTGGACGTTTGAGGGGCTGTTCTGGCTGAAAATGAACTCTGCGCTTTGATTGTTCCGGCTAATTGTCAGATGAAGATGCACTCCACCGTGAAGCGGACCGCACCGAAGTAGCTGAATCTTCCCAGATGACCTTCCAGTGTGTGACGTCGGCTCACTGTGGCTCGACGCCATCTCTGGTTTTACGAGGTTTACAAAGTTGCGGTTGCAACATGCAGCTGTCATTTTCCTCCTAGTCGTGCATGTGATTTCCCATCTGTCTTCTCTGGAATTTCGTGAGAAGCTACATTTCTCAGAAGAACGCGTCAGAATCCATCAGTGGGAGCGCCGGTCATTTTAATCTCGATCGTCATTTACAAACCTGTAAAATAGCTTGTTAACGAAAAAATGGGATTGCAAGAAATTAGTTTTGAAATGTAGAGCATGACTTTTAGTAAGTCCCCTGTACCTAATGAGAAGTTTGTTATAACCGGGAAATGTTCAGAGTTCAGAGGTGGATCAACATACTTAAATCATTTTTATCAGTGACATTGAAAGTTAGAGAAAGGAAGTCTGTGTCTCTGGTTCAAAGAGACGAGCTGAAGGTCAATTTCACCTTTTGAGACGTTTTGAATCAAGGCTTTTGTTCCTGCTGCTCCCAAAGGTGTCTCTTTACCTTCTTTTTGTGCCGTAGGCGGGGACTTTTGAGAGTACTAGCTTACTGTGTTTTGTCCCATAGAAATATTCTACTACCACAATCGGAGTTGTGGGGAAAAAAAAAAAAGTTGAACACTGCCTCTGAACTCTCCTGTGACTTTGGGCTTTTTGGGTATTCTTCCTCCTTGACCTACTAGTTTTCCTGCTCTGTAGTCACCTGCTGTTAGTGTTCAGTGGAAACATCTCGCATGCACACTGTGTCACCTGCACTTTCCCTTGAATACTGATGTGTTTGTATTCTCTCTGGGGTTGTTGTGATGAAAAACAATAGCAGATGTTCAGGGAGGCCCAGTAGGCAGATTTCAGTCTCTTGTTCAGCTCAACGAGACGATTTCATGCTAAATTTCCCTTTTTAGTATTCTATCCTGTGCTCACTGATGCCTTAGTTTCTTTGTATTTATTGCTCATTGAAAGCTGTGAATGTGTAGATTTAGACACCTTGCTGTTTGTTTTGTTCACGATTAAATGAACGTGACTTTTTAAATGGGAGCGCTGGCACCCAAGTTGCATTCCGAGGTGGACGGGACTCATTTTTTTTTCGTCCATTGCTCTCGACAGTTCCAGCATTTAAAAGACCGAAATAATGTTATTAGTCATGTTTCATTTCCTCTGTAATTCACCCAGAACTTTTCTTCCCCTCTCTCTATCCCTCCTTCTCTCTTCCAGCTGGTTGAATGCTGAGCTGCCACATTCTCTCCCCCCCCCCCAGGCGAAGGATTGGATTTGGCAAAACATCTCGGGTGGGTGGACAGTCGAAGGGGGTCGGGGGGTCGGGCATCAGAAAATATAGGAAGTCCTTGGACTTATTAGAAGTCGAGGTGTATTTTGCGCTGCTGTGGGGCTCGTGTTCCTCATGTTTCTCCTTCGAATAAATCTCATGCTTTCCTACAGTCCAATCATCCCATTTTGTGCAGCTTTCGCTTCTTTCTTTTGTTGTTTGGAGATGAGAATTCTTATTACACCTCCTGTTGGATTTGCTTTTGTTTTAGTCAAAAAGTGAAACGAGGATGGATAATGTTGTCCCGGTAAAGAAAGACGTTTGTTTGCGAGCAACTGCAAAAGCCAACCTGTTTCAATGGGTGTCCGGTGCTTTTTGCTAATTAATTACTTGCTTCTCTAAACTAAAGTTTGAGGCAACAGCAAATCCTTTTAGAATTTAATTAATTAAGAGTAAAAAATAAAGTGTTTTGCAGAAAATCATCACTCATTGATGATATAATGAATTCCATAATTGATACTGATACATCAGTGCATAAGCAGCATCTTAATGTAGCTGCTCCAGGTGGAGTTAGTTTAAATCTAGTTCTCTTCAGGCCAGTGGGTCACAACCTCGGGTTTGGGATCCTGCAAAGAAAAGAAGAAAAGTCTTGATACAACAAATTGTTTGCCATTTTTGAAAAAGCTTTTTATTTGTAAAGCTTTTTTGTTTAATATTAGTTTTAACTCTTTCAATAATTATTTTTGATCAAACCATCAGAGGTTTCCCATCTTTCTGAAATTGTATAAACTGATTCCTTTATGAAAGTAAGTAACTAAAACTGTCAAATAATCAAGTAAGAATTACTAGATTTGCCTCTGAAATGTTGTGGCGGAGCATACAATGAAATACTCAAGTAAATTACGTCAGACCTGTACTTGGGTACAGTACTTTAGTAAATCATTAGTTCAGGACGTGTCTGAACTTGTAGCAGACAAACACATTATCAGCTTACCGTAACAGAGCACCTCCAGATACTATTGTCTGTTAAGTGCAGTGATAAAACACAATAGCTACCTGGAGTTGAACACAATGCTCTTTGTTTACTTCATCACCAAAACAAAAACACTTCTGAGTTAGTTTCCTTTTGACTCCTCTTTCCCATAAACGCGTCTCGGTTTTTCTTCTCGTAAACGAAGTTCCCGAGGGGCGGTGACGACACGGGGTGGGGTTTCCGTATTGTCTACGGCGTGGCGTCACCGACCGGGGCTTTCCTCCATAACGTCAGAGGGCAGCGGCGGCGAGAGAGAAAGAGAGAGAGAGAGACGAGGAACGAGGCGAGCTGCGGAGATTTAACTTTGAGTTTTTAGCGCAGCCCAGGAAAGAGAAAAGGCCGCGGTCACCTGCCGGGAGCTCCCCGAGCGCGAGAGGGGAGAGACGGGCACGTGAACGAAGGAGTGTTTATACTTCCAGCTTTATCGAGACGCGCACGGAGGAAGCGAGCGTCGCATCGCTCCCCCAGCCTCTCCCGTCGATGAGAACCGGTCCTAAGCGGGGTAAGTGGCCCGGCAGGGAACGCACCTCTGCTGCTTGAGCTGTCAGTCTGACATGTCGAGGATTTTAATGAGATCTACTGCTTTATATAGAACCAGTTAGATAAAGAGAAGCTGCCACTTCAAAGGGAGTGTAGCGGTTTGCCGCCATAAAGCCTTTGTGTGGTTATTAACTAGCATGACGGTCACATTATCTGTGTCTGTCAGTCAGGAGGGTCGACAAAGACCAGGACCACCCGAATTATCAACAGTGAGGTCCATAATACTGTATATCCGTGTTACATGTAGGGAGGAAACAAACCAGTGTCCAGTCTCACAGCCGCTGCATGTCGGGAAATAATCATAAACTCTAAAAACAAAATGTCTTCAGCCCGTACAGTCATCCAGGATGTGTTGGAGTTGAAGTCTTCTCCCTTTTTAAAAAACCTCCCCTTCTGCTGTGCCCCTCCCTGGTCACTGTTTGGGCTGAGGACAAGCTGTATTTTCCTGTGGAGAAAGAAAACCAATGCATAGGATTGTGAGTGAGGAGACAGTGGAGCTCAGAACAGGAGGAGATGCTCTGATACTGTGACATGAGCCCCACAAACACTCCTCAGGAATATGATGTGGATATTTTGTGGGTTTAATTTGGATTGAGGACAGATTTTTATGATCATGCTTCTCGGAGTGTAAACGGTGTGTTCATTAACGTTCTCTTTGGATGGAGATGAGCAGCACAGATGGAGGCACAGAGTTGTGACCGCTTGAAAAGAAATGACACCCAGCTGGTGCTCCCTTTGAGCTACAATCCACAATTCGATACCAAGACCTCGACCAATAGTAATAATAATGTTATATCGATAAACAGTTCGCCGATAAGTGAGACATTTCACCACAGATGAAGCCACATTCCCAGTATATTTCAGGTCATTTATAAACTTTGTCATTATTACATCGTTCATCCATAAACTGCTCAGCACATATATATTGCTCACTATTCGTTTATAAACCAAATTCAAAGCAATCCTTATCAAACATGTTTCCTTAGTTATGCAGTTGTTCAAGAAAGGAATGCATTGTACTGATTAATGGACCTTTGTCACAGCAGACATTGTGACGGGTCATAGTAGGAAAAAGCACAGGTGTGTCTGATAACGTTAATGATGCATTCACTTACAGTAGGGGAAGGCCTGCTATTGAGCCGGCTGGAGTACACCGGGACACACAACTGAGTCGTCAGTAATGTTATCTGTTGTTGTTGGTTGTTTATTAACCAAATTCTGCCCAAAACGCCAACACGTTATTTTGTTGGAAGGTGTACCAACCACATTCCTTTAAAAAACAACATATTTATTTGAACGGATGTAAGGTAAAATAATCTCGGTCCATGTCGGCAGCAGTTCCTCCCTCTCGTCACGTGTGTTTGACCGTTACCTCATCCAGAGGAGGTTTGGGTTCCCGTGTCATTGTGTGCTTCAGGTTACAGACAATAGCTGGGAATTACATGCTCAGTTGTCAGACGCACTGGGTGTGTGTGTGTGTGTGCGTGTCCGTGTATTGTGCTGCCGTTTCCTCTCTGAAACCTGAATTCATTCTTGGAGTTGAGCTCTGCTACTGCTGCTCACCTCCGTCTCTGTACGGGCCCTCGGTGTGTGTGTGTGTGTGTTGTAGATATGTGTGTGTTAAGAGGGGCTAAGAGCTTTGTTTTTGCGACTGTCCCGCCTGCAGGCCTGACATTAAACATTCAACAACGCAGCAGTGTGTCTCCTGAATGCTCCTCTAATTATAGAAGCTCCCAGCCTGATTCCCTCTACCTCCACCTTCCAGAGCATCGCCCTGGACTCTGATTATACTGTATTTGTGTGTGTGTGTGTGTGTGTGTGTGTGTGTGTGTGAGTGAGTGAGTGGTGTTAATGAGAGTCAGTGGGAAAGACAACAAATGCTCAAACTCTCCATTTGCGTACCTATCTGCCTCCCACTGCATTTATTCCTAAAAATGATAATGTTCAAGGTTTTCTTTTCCGATAGATTGATAGATAGAAACACTAAACTGGTTTAAACTTTTCGAATTTGTAATATTTTCCACTTTTTCTGTCCTTTTAATAGTAAATCAAACATAGTTGGGGTTTACATGGCTGTCAAGATAACACAAACAAGCGAGTGCATCTTTCACTGTTTTATTTTGACACAAACCAAACAATTATAGATTAATAGACAACATTATGAATTTAAGATAGTATGAATATTTAGTTGCAGCCAGTGGTGGAGAGTAACTAAGTACATTTACTCAAGTACACACAACATCTCTGAGGGTATTGCCCTTTTTACTCCTCTACGTTTACCAAACAACTTTTAGTTACTTTGCAGATTCTGATTACGAATACACGATATAATCAACTAATGCGTTTTGATATATGGATTAAGCTACACTTCAGTAAGAACAGTAGCTGAAATGAGCTCCACCGTTAAATTACACATTAAAGTGATGAACGCATGAATGCATCAATATTTTGACTTTGGTACTTTTACTTAAGTAAGAATTTGAATGCAGCGCTTTAACTTGTAACAGAGTAAAATATCTGAGTACTTTTTCCACCACTGCTTGCAGCCCTACAGTTAAGTACTGAGGTAGTAGTAGTAGTAGTAGTAGTGAGCATTGAAGGCCTTCCCAGGTCTAAGCATGTTCTTTTGTCACAAATTTCCTGACTAAAGTCTTTGCCGGTTTTGTATTATTCTTGTATGGCTTGGTTTATATATCATATATTGATTCTAGCAGCTTTAAATCTACATATCACATTGATTAACCAGTAGCTAGCAACCAATACCATTGTCTGTGGGGTCAGTTGCTACTGACTGTGGTTAGGGCAAAGCAGTCTGACCATCAGGCCGTATCTGTACCAAAACTCAGGTGTCGTGTTGATATCAGTGTACCCGAACCTACTTATCACATGACTCTATCCCAGTAATGTTCTCAAATATGCTTTGGTCTTTTGGCTGATTTTCCTTCTGTAAAGTAACTCATCGATAAGTCAAAAAGAATGAGAGAGTAGAAGCACATTAGTGTCTGTGACAGCAGCAGATGCAGCGTCATTAAAGTGGCGGTATGGATATTGTCCAACTGTGTGGTTCCTTTCCTCTGAAAAACGGTGTGCAAACATCATTAGATAAATAGATCTTCTCCCATACACACATTTTATTATTCAAATTCATTTGGCATTTGCTTTCAGGGTGTCAAAGGGAAGCAAACGTTTTATGGTGAGCCGCATTTTGCCAGATGTTTGGATGTTTTTTTAGGGAGGAAGATTATGTGCGCACACACTCACACACAGTGTGCAGCTCTATTGTGAGTGCTGGGCTGGTTTCCTGGGAAGGCCGTCATGTTTGGTTGCCGGTGTGTATCTTCCACAGAACTGCCTCCATTATCTGTAATATCGCTCTCATCACCAACCCGCCCACTCATGCACGCGCCAAAATCCAACCTCCTTGCTTACACAGTAACACCGCATCCACA